TTTTTTTTGTCAAAAATATACCTCATTTTAGTTTTTTGCAATTATAGATCTTCGTAGCCGATGTATAACCTAAGGCTATGTGCGGGATACTCAAAGTATTACCCTCGAATCCATAATTAGCTATAAACGCCAAGAAGAAATTTGCAGTAACATTAACTTACATAGAGAAAGACATCAGGCTGATATTCCAAATTTGCTAAGTTCATAATTAGTTTCTAGGGTTAGATCAAAAGTACAATCAAATGGATTTATAACAGAGATGAGAATCTGAAACAAACTAGTAGCAAAGAGTCCTCTGAGATGACAGCTGCAATATTCCAATACCCTGTACTATCTAAAAATACGATAGGAAATGATGCTATATGGGCTGCTATAACATCTTCTTCCAAATCATCTGGATGAAATCCCATAGCTGTCGTCGTATTCCAGTTAGCTGAAAATTGTAGATAAATACTAATTTTTTGAACGATTAACGAAGAAATGAAGAAAAACTTGTACCTATGGCTGAAAAAACGTTTCGCAGCATCGTAAGTACATCTTGCTGCTTAGCGACGACATTAGTTTCGAGTAGTCGAACAAAAAAACAGGCTAGGAATAGGTCATCAAACTAAAATAGAGGGTAGTAATGTTCAATGTAATTTGCATTTCAAAAAAAATCTGCAATGATAAACTCACTTCAGGTAAATCCCGACATTTAAAAAATCGCGCAGCTAATGCCAGTGCCGACACGATGTGCTCCTTATGACGCAGTTCAGCAGAAACTCGCCGAATTATTGCTGGCTCAAGGATTGTTCGCAGAATGCGCTGGTTGAACTCCGGAGTAGCCTCTTCATCTAAACCCACTGTTTGTCACAAAAGAATTTTTGAGAAGAAAAAAGTAAATAGGTACAGTATAAGTTTAACATACCTTTATCGGTAATGTGTGGATAGACTGCCGATGGTCGAAGATTCGAGATGTTTGGCGCAAATCGTGATGTTTTAGCTAGCACTGACTCAGAGGCCCCAAAATGGATCAATACGCATCCTGTCGATGTCTTATCTGGAAAATGTATCTTATTTTCATTAACAAAGTTTGCTTTTCACGTGACAGACGGAAAGATGAAAGAAAAGGCTGATCGGTTTCAATTCAAGTTGGATGGGGAAACTGCAAAATAAGTCTGACCTGTCACTTTTAAAACCGGAAAAATAGCATCTCTGCCTAATCCTGGCATAAAACTTATTTCATAGTCTTTGTAAGCTTTGCGGAGTGCTAGCAGAGCACCACACATATAATGAGCTCGTTTTGTAGGGTAAGTCAAGTTGATATAATCTCTCTTTCCAAACAGGCTCTAAAACAATGGCATTCGTAAAAAATAAACAGAATGTAAGAGACAACAGCAAACAACCAACTCACATCCGGAAGAGTAACAAAAATACGCATAATAAAGAATGATGAGCCAATTAAGTCTATAGCGGAGTCCGAAAGAACTATCACCTGAATCAGAAATCACAAATGAGCGTAAAAACTCAGATGAATCACCAAAACATTAACCTCCTCTGGAGAAGCCCATTTGTACTCTGTTACGCTAGAAGTACTTCTCGCTACGGCATCAGCTAATTCATTGAAAGGATGTGTAATTCCATATTTCTTCCATGAGTCAAGATCTTTGTACTAAAGAAGCAGAGCTCATAAAAAAAGCTTTCATCCGGTTCGATAAAACAAACAATAAACACAAAGCAATCTATTTAGGTTTATTGGAGCAAGCGAAAGGAGTTCCAAATTCGATTGAAGTATATGAGAACTTGCCAACAATGCGATTAAAAACTTTTGTAGTGTATTTCAGAGATTACTTCTTAATATAGCAGGATTCATAACGACTCAAAATGATTTTTATGAAAATTCCTCGTTTCGACGAAGGAGGAAGAAGGGAAGAAGGACACACAAATTTTCTTCTTCTTCTAACAAAAAACTTCTTAAATCTTGACGCGAAAAAGATAAGCAATTAATTTGCTTTGAAGAAATTGTTGAAACAATCTATTATACTGGAGTTGATCAAAGTTATACTTCTGCCTTGATGCCCATGAACAAAAAAGCGTCAACACAGAAGGCTACTAGAAGGCATGCTATAAAATTCTATCATATCGTAATAGACACAGAATAATTTAATGAACGATAAACAAATAAATAAAAGAGTCCACCTGACAAGAGTGCTTCGACTTGGCTGTTCTCAACGTAAGTGCCACTTTCTTAGCCAATTCCTCCCATTTCGCCACCACTTCTGGAGCAGCATGTCGTTCGCGCTCAGCATCTTCACACTAAAATGCTTGATTGATGATTGACTAAAAGATAATATTTATTTCTTCAAAAAAGCTTACTTGAAGCTGGAAAACATTTGACATAGGTTTTACAACAGTTTGCACCTCAACATCATCACCGGGATGAGTGCGTTTCATAACTTGTAGACAATTGACGGTCGAACAGCGATAATTCTCGAGAAACTATTTCGTATTGGGAGCGAAAATTCCTAGAAGTACTTACTTAGATATTAGACAAGTGAGAAACTACGCAGATCAGAAAAAATGTCAATTTCTCCCTAAACGAAACAACATACAACCAATCCTATAAGTACTAGGCACCAGCGAATCAAAACAATCTAAGAAATACTTTTAGGAGCTCCTACCTTTTCAACTACTATAACCTCCATCTTATATTCTGCGAATAATTGTCAAATTTACAGCAGAGGGCGGGACAAATAAATCCTTTTCCCTTATAGCACCTTACCAACACTAAGAAAACTAATATAATTCCTATTATGATGACTATACTGCAGGCATAATTTTCATTTCTAGATCTATAACTGACTGTAACAACGCAAAGTCCAAAAATAATGAGTGAGAGATTTGCTGCAACTGAATATCAATAATTCGAAGCCAGAAAAATATGCGATAGGCTTATTTTTATTTACTCTCACACTCAAAATTGCAGTATCCATATAACAGGCCGTTACGCATGTTACTGATGCTCTCATTATTGCTCTAATTTTCTAACAAAAAATCAGCATTTTCTAGACCTTAACTTACTGCGCAGAACCCCAATCCGCCACATATAATTAACATGCAGTAAGCATTCAAAATTTTCATGTCCCAAAACTAAAGAAAAAAGAAATTATCCATTTTTGATGATTTCACCTTGAAGGGATGTTCTGTGAATAAAAAAAACCCTCTTTACAAGCCTTCAATACTAGTCCCTGTGAATTGGCACTTGATAAGATCCTAAACATGGCAGGGCCCACTATGAGCACCAACTTGCAAAAAATCATATGTGGCCGAAGTTCCAAACTTGATAAAAGAAGGTTGAGATTAACTTCCACTCAATAATGATTTGCCCTTTTGAGTAAAACAGAAGATACTTTCAAGAAGAAACTTCATGTCGAGGACAGGTCCACACATTTAATCAAATCTTATGCATTCCATTCAACCAATATGCTTCCAAGTACACAATTCAGAATCATATGCTAACAATAA